GCGGACACAGGGGTGTCGGGGCCCGGCTCGTAGGTCCGCGTCTCCAGAGGCTTCTCCGCCAGCTGCTGCAGGTGCCGGCGGGTGGTGGGGCAGAAGCTTTGCAGCGCCAGCGCCATGTACTTCTCCCGGATGAAGAGCGCCCGCACCACGCTCTTGGCCGCGTCCAGCAGGTCTGTGAAGGGCACCTGCAGACCAGGACGTGCGGGCGCTGCCCTCCGGCTCACACCCGCCAGGCTCACTCCCACCTGTTCCCGAAGGCCTGACCTTGAAACGGAGCCCTTGCTGCTCTCCCAGACCTTCCGCCCCTGCAGCTTCCGGAGAGAGAAGCACCCTCTCTAGCCTCACCCCCAGTTCCCCAAACTGCGGGAGCCCCTGGCCCCCAGCCGGGCCCACTCACCCCGCACTTCTCCTCCCCGGAGATGGAGACGCGCTGGAATTCCCGCTCCAGCACCGCGTCGCGCTCCCGCAGGCCCCAGTCGCCCTGCCCCTCAGCCTGCTCCTGGTAGAGCCTACGGGAGGGCGACAGGAAGGGGTTGGAGCAGCGGTGGTGCAGGCCCAGCCCGTGCCCCCCTGCGCCCGCCCTCTGCCCTCCTCACTGGAGGTCCGATTCACTGTCCGTCTTCAGGAAATCTTGCTTGGCCCGAAGCAGGATGTCTGGCTCCAGCCTGGAGGTGAGGGGTGAGAGGTCAGGTGACGGCCCTGGCTCCCGGGTCCCTGCCCCAGCGAGGTGCAGTGCGTGTGCTGTCACCGTGCTGTCCGGGCCCCAGGTTGGGACGAGAACGCACACCCACCCAGTCAGGCACGGACTTCCAGGCCACGCTGACGGCAGAAGGCAGACCAGCACCCGCAGCCTGACCCCACGGCCTGTGCTTCACCCCACAGCCCTGTGCTGCCTCCCCGGGGGCCCCCAACGGGGACAGAGTGGGAGAGGGACAGAGACCGAGCTCAGAGAGCATGCCCCCCACACACACACAGCTGCCTGGCTGCACCCCCAACACACACACAGCTTCCTGCCTGTGACACAGATGGCGCATCATTGAGAGCAGGGCATACCTGCCTGGCTGACCCCCCCCACACACACACACACACAGCTGCCTGGCTGAGCCCCCCACTGGAGGCTGCCTGGCTGCGCCCTCCCCACAAACACACACACAGCTTCCTGCCTGCGCCCCCGCCACACACACATACACACACACACACACAGCTGCCTGGCTGAGCCCCCCACCCCGGGCTTCCTGGCTATACCGCCCCCACCCGAGGCTGCCTGGCTGCAGGGCTGGGCCCGGGCTCACTTGACATCCTGGCTGATCTGCCGCTCCAGGCGCTGCCTCCGCTCCTCCAGCTGCTCGATGGGGCTCTCCTCGGGGAACTCGTACGGGGCGCTGCGGAGCTCGCTCTCAGCCAGGGAGCGACTGAACAGCTCCTGGCAGCAGGAAGGACGGATCAGCGAGGCCTGGCCCTCAGCCTGGGCCCTCCCTGGCAGAGTCTGGGAGGAGGTGAGGGTGGCAGGAGCCGGGGTACCAGGAAGAGGCTAGGGGCCAGGGCACAGCCCAGCCTGGGGACAGCGTGGGGGACAGAGGGTGAGGTGCCAGGCATATGATACCTCGGCTATCTCCTTGCATTTGCCATCCATAGACGTGCGCAGGTCCAGCGGGAAGTGCTTGAGGCAGGGGGCGGGGCCTGGCAGGGACCGGGCAGACTGCAGCGGAGGGGCCCCCAGCCCACCCCGAGCCTCTGTGGAGACAGGACACCAGGGTCACGGGGTGCAGGCAGCACCGGGGTGCACTGGAAGCCGAGGAGCGGGTGAGCCAGCGTGAGGCTCCCAAAGGACCTCACCTTCAGTCGAGCACGGGGACCCCTCACAGGGGTCCCAAGTCCGCCCCTAGACCAAGTGATTCATTCTCTCCAGGAATCAGAATCTAGTCCTAGACTAGGGGCCATGAGAACCTCCCCATGAACCTCCTACAGACAGGCACAAATGTCTCTGCACACACACATGCACACACGCGTGCACACGCCCCAGCAGCTCAGAAGGACCTGGGGGCCAACATGGCGATCCCCAGCCCGCAGCTCCCAGGGCCGAGGTGGGGATCAGACCTGCCTCTGGACGGCACGTCCTCTCGGAGGGCAGGGCCCACACCCGATGTCCCGGACCTACAGAGCCGCCACTCAGCTCCCACCTGGGACCAGCCCTCCAGGGAAGAGGAGGTGCAGGCGGTTGGACCTGGTTGCAGCAGGAGCCCTACTGCCTCCCCGGAGGCCTGCCCTCTCCCCCAGGACCCCAAGGGCTGCCAAGACGAGGCCTGGCCCCGCCTGCCCCTCCCACTGCTGGCTGCCCCTCTAAAGGGAGCTGCCACAAACAGTCTGCGCCACTCAGAGGCCGGGATCTGGGCGGGAGGCCCCGGGAAGGGCCGGGAAGAGAGAGCCAGAGAGCACGGTCTCTCTCCGAGGCAGAACTCAGCTGCACACCAGGAGGCTACAAGGAAGGCCTAGAGCTGCTGGTCCAGAGGGGCTGCCCGAGCTCCCAGCCCACCCCAGCCCATCTCCTGGGCACCCCAGCCCACCTCCTGGGCTCCCCAGCCCCACCCTCCCAGCAGGAAGCCCTCCAAACCCAAGTGGGCTCCCCCAGCCCAGGGTCCTCCTCTCCAGCACTCCCCTCCCCCCTGCCCAGTGGCTGAGGGACAGCCTGGAGGCTCTGCCCAGGTAGAGCGCCTTCCAGGCTCCAGGCCCCTCCCCGATGCCCCAGAGTCCCAGGACTGGACAAAGGGAAGAGGAGGTGCCTGCCCGATCCAGGACCCAGCCCCCACTCAGCCTCACGTCTGCCTGGGTCCTACCTGCAGAGTCCAGGCCGTGCAGGCAGCAGCCCTGCGCCCCGTGCCGGCCTGTTTGCTCAGTGGCCAGTAGCCCTGTGCCCCTTGCCGGCCTGTTTGCTGAGTAGAGCTGCAGCCAGTCCCCCAGGACGGCTCAGGGGCCGGCACGGGCTGTACCAAGTGCAGCTGCAGGCAGGGGAGACCCTGGGATGCCGGTGAGCAGGGGCTGGGGGAGCTCAGGGGAGCCCGGAAATCAAGGGAAGGAGCATCATCAAAGTTTGGGGCTAAGAGGAACCTTAGAACCAAACAGGGCCTTCACCGGGCCCAGCCCAAAGTGGGGCCCCCAAGGGGAGGAGCAGGGTGGGCTGATAAGGGCAGGAGAGGCTGGCAGGGAGGGGCCAAGCCTCCTTAAAATGCACTGCCCTGGGGTAGAGTGAGTGAGTGGGTGGGACCTGGCTGCCCCAAGGAGGGGGGGGGGGGCAAAGAAAGGGGGCAAGCAGCCTTCATCTCCACACCCAGCCTCCTCTGCCCAGTGGCCGTTTTCCTAACCACTGTCCTCTGGGGCCCAGCGATGGGGTCCCCCAGGGAGACAGGCCTGGCCTGGGGAAGGAGCGGCTGCCGGGGAAGCAGCTCGGTCCAGGCAGGAAAGTCGCTGAGCCTCTCCGATGCCCAGCGGACCTCCGAGACCTCCGACCCCTGTGCCAAGCCCGGGACGGGAGAGGTTTGGGAGGTTAGGGGGTTAGGGTCTGGAGAACCTGAGTCTGACTGTTCCCGCTTATTCACAAGTCTCTACCTCCCGCAGGCGTGGAGTCCTGTCTATAAGGGGGTGATAGCGGGCATGTCCTGTCGGCCACAGCTGCCATAAGGCTCGCAGAGATACGCTGCACCCTGATCTGCGATTAGGAACCCCGGGACCCTCCAAACACGTCCCACACGCAGTCCCACCCACTGGGGAGGGTGGGGGTTCTTGGGCCCAGCGCAGGCCAAGGCAACCGAG